GAAGGCCTGTTGTTATGGGAATGTTTCTTGGAGTAGTAGCGAGCTGTCTGCCTTGTATCCAGCCTCTTTCGGCATATGCAGTAATCTTAGCAATTTTATCTTTGTGACTGTCTTTACAAGCTGCTTCTCAGGGTTGTAGCTGGGAGAGGCAGAGCTGATTGCCACAGACACCTTAAGTGTGGCTCTGGGATAGGCCCTGCTCATTTGACAGCTAGGGTGTGACTAAGGGAAAGACCCTCCTTTGCAGAGGTTTCCCTCTACTTACGAACTGCTCTCCACATGTCCTCTTAGTGTGGTGGCTTTTTGAAGATCCCGAACAGCTTTTCCTGGCAATTGGAGCTCTTATGGTTTGCTGGGCTGGTTGTTGGAGTTCTAGGTAACTTACATAAGTCTCTATTTCCCCCCTGCTTCTCTTTGATCCTCCCCTTCCACCTTGATACTTCACAGTTTTAGTATGTGGGAAATTGATAATACTGGTTTTGTTGTTCACACACGGTATCTAAGCCATTAGCTGTTTTGTAGGAAGTGCTTACGACTATTGTTTTCCAAGGTATCATCTGCTTTGGTCTTGGAAGCTTCTCACAGCAAACATCATTTTGGCAGCCTGCTCTCACTCATTCTCCCCAGGATCTGGTACTTACATACACATAAAGGAGTATTAGCCATAAAATAAAACGGAGTTGTGGAGGGGGGTGGAAGAGGAAAGCTGTGCCTTTAATTGACCTATGCACCATCAAGATAAGTATTTATGGGCGGCCTTTCTGAAAGCCTGAAAGGAAAAGCTTAAAAGTTGTGGCCCCCCGCAGCGGTCAGTGATGCTGGAGCAGCCAGGATCGCTATTTACGTAGCTGAGGCACTGGCTCAGGACAAGCCCAAGTGGGAGCAGCCGAGGAGCCTGGCCGGGAGTGCAGCTCAGCGCAGGGCCAGCCCTGCGGCTCCCGTGGGGAGCTGCGGCTCCCGTGGGGAGCTGCGGCCTGGCGCCGCGCGCGGGTGCTAGCGGGGCCAGCCGCGCCGGGGGGGCCGTCGCGGTCCTGCCTGGGGGCGCCGGCGGCTTGTTGCTGCCCTAGGGAACAGCGCGAGGTGGGTGCCGAGCTGGGAGAGCGCTCAGGGCCTGATGGTCTCGTCAGCGAGTTTGAGATGTACGGAAGGATTGCATTATTTTACTGAACAGGTTCCTATTTGTATTGGAACATGCACGTGAGACTAGACTCAGTTTGGCTGGCTGTTTAGACCACTCTGGTATTTACAGTGACCAAGTCTTTATTATGCTGAACGAAACGTGTAGGATAACCACAAGTAACTGCAGCTGTCTTCAGGAACTGCAGTGAGTTAGCTATGCTGGAAAACTGTTTCCTTATCTGTTAAACTCTCTAGTATAGAGAATTTAAAAACTCTTTAAAAAAAAAAAAGTAAATTTTCATCTTGTTTTTCCCCTGTGAAAAGACATTTAATATTGTTGCACAGTAGAATTGAACAAATTTGTCTGTGGAAGAGTTGCCTTATAGTTGTTAGCAATCCACAGAAGCACATGAAGCAGTTTAATAATTATGTTGTTCTTAGAGGGTTTGGGAAGAGCCTAGTAAGTATAAGCAGAATGATCGATACAAAAATATTTATCAGGTACTTTATTCTGTAAGTAGTATCTGAAAAAAATCGAGACTGTTGGTGTGGCTGTTTGAGGAATACAGTGTTGTGATATAGTTTATGCATATGTGTCAGGATATTTGCCTGTGTGCATGTGTGTAAAATAAGTATTTTTTTAAATCATAAGTGTAACTTCTGAAGTTTTATATGTAGCATGTAAGGTTACATCATTCACTCTCAGCTCAGTTATTTGTTGTTGTTCATGTGTATACTGAGCATGTATGTTTTGAGATCTACTTAGACAAGCTTAAATGACAAGTGGTAACTTGTTCACGTGACTTGAGAGCACAGAAGATAGTGTAGACCTAATTTTCCTGCTTTCAAAGTTTGTATATGAAGTCAAGGCGCTGTGCTTTTTCTTTATTTACTGCCAAATTTTTAAGGTGAATTGACATATGGATGTTATCAAAAATTATACAAATAAAGTTTCTGAGCTTCTGGTGGGTCTGGTTGGTCAGCTACTGGCAGGTCAGGTCAGTACTTCATGCATATGCATGCATCAGCTTTTTTCTCTTTCAAGGTACTGAACATATTACTATACATCTTTCTTTATGTTATAAACTTTTTTCTAAGCTGTATGAGAGTGGGAGGAAAAGAAAATGTGAAAAAGGATTTTGGTCAATGCTTGCATAGTCATAAGGCTTTGAAGCTAAAAATTGCATTATAACCTCTCTCATGCTGCACCATGACATGATTCTCCTCTAGTCATCTTCTCTATGTGTGGTTTTCAGCAGACTTGTAAAAATAGTTTTAGTGGTTTCATTCATTCCCCACCTCTTACAGTGGACTGCTCTACCATATTAGAGATACTTGTAGGAGTTGGTCTTTGCTACTTGCAGAGGTCCTTGTGGTCGTTGTGGCTTGCTACGCAGGATGTGAGGCTAGTGTAGTACATGATGTAGCGCCCAGGAGGATTTAAAAACTTCTCCTCGGAAGGTAGAGGAAAAATAAAGACAGGAATATTTTCTGCTTTCTTGGAGTATGGTCCACGAAACTATTTTTCTTATTTTGACATGATTTATATGAATATTTAAAACCTGAGAAGAAGAAATCGGCTAAGAATGAAGAAAAAGTACTTTTTTCTTTTCTTGCTTACAATTTCTCCAAGAATGGGAGGCTTTAAGCACGTGACATTATAAAATAATATTCCGTCATCTCTGTCATCTGTCCGTTTACCCTTTGCACATGGACATCTTGCAGACTAATACTGAATATTCAGAATATTCAGAAGCAACCATTTTTTTTCATTTTTGAATTACAGGGACAGATATTACTAAGTAGCACTGGCCACTTCTGGTTGTTTCCACAGAACAACATATGCTTATCACAGCATGGTCTCTCAGTAGTTTGGAAAAGCTTATCACCGTGACAGTACTGCACGTTCAAGTGAAGCAGGGCATTTGGTCTTTCCGAAAGGTACTTCAGTGCGTCTGCATTTCATAAGAGTGCTGGTGCATGAGCAAGCTTTAAATTCAGCACTTTCTGTTCTGCTTTACAGAACTTTGGTCAGTAGTAAAATGTGGATGTGGGGAGTGAGAAGAGCAGGTTTGTTATCCCAGGCTGCACGTCTTGGAGAACACAGGTGAAACTATATCAAAGAAAGACCAGAATTTGCCAGAGATTTTACACTTCAAATCTGAGTGGTTAACACCTTTGCTTTTCTACCAGAGCTTTGATTTCCTTTTACAAAAGGAAAAGTGGAGCATTGTCCTACTCGGAAACCAACACCCATTTCTTTTGGTAATCTCCTGTAGTGGATTGTAAGGAAAGTTTAAATTTATAAAGAGTGGACCTTTAGGTAATGCATGGTTTTACTTAACGAACAACCCTAAAAGTTCTTGTTGGAGTAAACCTGTCCTACTAAAGTTCAGCTTTTCAAGGCGTTTTTATCTTTGTAATGTGGCTGAGCTGGCTGGTACCACTACCAGTTGGGTTCTGATGGTAGCATTCACTTCATAAAGAATATTGCTTAATAGGTGCTTGTAAACAGTCTCTTTGTAAAATAATTCTTGAGAAATTACTAGCCTACATTGCTGTTTTTTACCTACCTAAGTTAGTGCTGCTTTATCCTAGCTGATATTTTTGGGCCTGCCCTGTATGTGTCAGGTTCTGCTGTGAGGCAGGTTCATGAGCTATAACCCTGGAAAAAAGCTAATATATGCTCTTCTGGTCTTCTGTTACTGCAGAGTGAGGAGGGTGAGATGGTCACACACAGGCTGGCTATTCAGGGTTACTTTTAGATATCCTGTAAATATGGCCCATGCTACTTGTTTTCAATGAATTGTTGGGAATAACTTCCAGCTTTGCTCTGTGACTTGTTCACTTGTCCCGGGGGACTTTGAACCCTATTTATTTATTTTAATGAATGATAGGAAGCGCAGGGAGAAAGAGGATAACTTAAATTTACAAGAATTGCTTTATTTATATAAAGTAACTTTGCTATTTTACTGATAAAAATATACTTTTTTGTTGTTGTTTGGTTGTTAAAGTAGAAACTAGTACAGTTCAGGTGTAATTTATGACTTGAGCTTAGGCAGAAATGTAAATTTGAGAAGTGTTAGAAATTATTTGCCTTCTCTTTTCCCAGCTGTTCTTTTGTGTTTAAGTGGTTTTTGTGGTGAAGAAGAAAAACAGGTTACCTGAGAAGCAGTTTTTAGGGAAGCCATAAGAGTGTGACAGTTCGGGAAATGTTGTCTTTAGTGCTCTGAGAGTAGGTACCTGTGCTGTAAAGGCAGAGCTGCTGGAAAGTTAGTGAAATCTGCAAGCATAAGTGGAAAGAGTTTGCCAGTTACAAACACTGGCAAAATGGTTAGGAAAAGAAGACTGCTGTGATGAACTTGAAACCTGTGCATTAAACTGCATGTGCTGGTGATAAACCCATTCGAACCTTATTAATTAGTGCTGAGGAGAAAGCGTGTCAAAATTGACATATTAGGACTCCTTCAGCCCTCAAAAATAAAAGGAAAAGTTCATATTTTGCTTGTACTTAAATGAGATATGAGAGTAAGCCCTTCCATAAGTAAGAATAATAAAAGAACATACTGCAGTATTAAAATTATAAAAACAAAGTAGGCCTTACCCTGAATGCAATGTAAATACACATGTGGGCCTCCTCCTTCCACATTTGCATTATGTTGTGCTCTGGCTGCATTTAGGTAAATGACTGTTGTTACTAAGTTGCTATGTCACTTGAGAGCAGAAATCTAGTTTATAAGAGGTGTCTGAGTATGTAAGATGCTTAGGAAATAAGATGCTGTGCTTCTGCACCCTTAAAATGCAGATACTTTTATTTGTGCAAAGAAAGCTATGGTGAAATATGTGGGGTTTTTTTGTTTGTTTTTTTTTTTTTCCTCTAGGGACCAGTTACTCTCCACAAGAAAATTCACATAACCACAGTGCTCTTCATAGTTCAAATTCACATTCTTCTAATCCCAGCAATAATCCAAGCAAGACTTCTGATGCAGTGAGTATTTGTAATTAGTGTGTGTCCCCACTTCAGCTTCATGCACACTCTACTTTCAGGATTTTTTTCAAAATGCAAACTTCCGCTTCATTGAATTCTCCAATATAAATTTTATTGTATAAACATCCTATATGTGCCCTAACTGCAGTTTTTATATCTTGTGAAGCTGTTATAACTGGTTATTTTTAGAGGTTTCAGGTACTTGTTTTTTTTTTTTTTTTTTTAAAGATACTAGATTATTTAAATAAAAATAACTATGGAGAGAAATATTTTCTACAAGCATTGGTAAAATCATTCTGGTTTGACTGGATTTTCTTACTTAAGACACACTGTATGCCTCGAGTTTTTATTACCTAAAATGTTTATTACCTAACCTTATTACCTAAATTTTAGTAGTTAGGGCAGTATTTAATGATTGCACTGGAAACAGAATAAATAAATTCTCTAAGTATAGAAAACCATATAGTTTTTTTTTTTTTTAAATAATCATATTATGATGAAAACCATAGGTTAGGTATTTAGATACAGAATTTTGAGGAATTTAATGTGCAGAAATCTAAAGTTTAGCAATACAGATACAATTGCATCCTACTGAACTCGTTGGATGTATTTGGAGTTGGTAGGAATAAAATCAAATGAACTGGCTTGTAGGAGACAGTGGAAGTGTAGTGACCGTGTCACCTTTAACTGTGGCAGATGGAATTGACATTTAGATTAGGGTATATTTGAGGACACTATGCAACTTAAAAAGATGAGAGCTTTTAAACTTGTGTATTAAAACTCCCAAGCAGCCTTTAATCCAATGCTGTTCATTTTTTAAAGGCTTATGATTCTGCGGATGACTGGTCTGAACACATCAGCTCCTCAGGCAAAAAGTACTACTACAACTGCCGAACAGAAGTTTCACAATGGGAAAAACCAAAAGAGTGGCTGGAAAGGTAAATGTGTGTGTATCTTCATTGTATAAGGAAAAAGTTACAACAGATAATTCAAAGAGCAGCTGAGCCAACCTAACAGACTGCTGCATGGTCCAGGTTTACTCTGTCCACACCCCTGCATGACCTCTGGCACCTCTTCTATTCCCTATTAAGTTTGAACTACTTACTAAGCAAGAGGAGGGGGGGAAAAAAAGATCTGTGGTTTGCTGCTGAGTTAGTGAGCTGAGCCGTTCATTGAGATGCTGGACAAGCACAGGCACTCAAGTAAGGAAAATCATGGGTAGAATTTGCCTCCCCGGTCTGTAAGAGCAAGCTGCTAGAAGGGCTTATTTGGTCTTGTGTAACTTAACCTCAGGAGAGCGTGATTGAATTTCTTATGGTCTTTCTTTTGTTTCCTTTTCTTCAGAGAGCAGAGACAAAAAGAAGCAAGCAAGATGTCAGTTAACAGTTTCCCAAAAGATAGGGATTACAGAAGAGAGGTGATGCAGGCGACAGCTGCAAGTGGGTTTGCCAGTGGAAGTATGTGGTTTTTTTGTTTGTTTGTTTGCTTAAGTAATATATTCTTGCTTTGTTTGTATTACTCTCTTTTCTAAACTAAAAAAAATATTTTTTTTACCTGTCTTTCTCCCCCTTTTTTAATACAAAAAGGCGAAAGGTACTGAAATGAACAGGTCTCCCAGATATTGATCATTAAAATAACATTGGACTCATTGAACTGTCACTAGTATTACTTGCTTAATGCTTTTTGTAGTACTGCTTCTGTTTTTCTGGGTAATTTAATGATCTTTTTAAATATCTTCTGAAAAAAAAATGTAGTTTTTCATGTATTTCAGTTGTCTTGATCCTTATGAGACCGATCTACGTAACATTGGAGCATGAAAATAGAGATGTAAAAGTCTCTTCTAAAACCTCGATTTTACATCTGAAAGTAATAGTCCGCTAACTTAATAGGTTTTGTCATCAGTGGTTCCAGAGTCTCGTGCATGTTATTTAAACAATATTTTTACCATGCCGACACTGTTGAGCAAAGCTTTTCCCAGATTGTGATTTTTTTTGTTGCTTGGATTTTTTTTTCCTGATTCCTAGCTTTTATCTTTTTTATCTTTGCCAGTGTAGTTTGTGTGGCTTTGTAGTGTAGGCTTCAGGTTGGTTTAAAAGTTGCTTCTTTCCTCCTCCCCTCCCTTCTTTTCCCCTCCTGTCTGTGAGCTTTATAAGGCTGAGACTTACAAAAGACAGACTTTCATCACCAGCTCTCTTCCTCCCTTATTCCCCCCTCAAGGAAAGGATGAGCAAAATTTCAACATATAGAGGACAAAAATATGTTTTATTCAAGATGTGCTTGCCATGAAACATAAAAAATTATGTAGTGCAGTAACTGTGACAGATGAAAACCTAGGAACCAAGCAGAGAAGTGTATATATGCTTGACATGTTCCCAGGGAAGCACATTTTAAAGTCTGTTAGCATGTGACAAACACAGATTAGCCACTCATTTGTGTATGATCTTCTTGAATTTATTTGACTGAAAGTAAATTCTTTGCACTACTACTCAAGTGACTTGAAGTGGGATTCTTTGAAGACAAGAATTTGAAAGTATTACATTCTACCTGTTTGAGATTCTTAATTCTCAAAAGGAAAATAGCATCATTTGTCTAATCACACTAAATACAAGAAAGAAATAATAGAATTTGATTAAAATTTTTTTAGGAAACTTCAAAACTTAACTTTGGCTATAATGCTTTCATCAAAGCACAGTGCTTAACTGGAACTCTAAATCAAGCAAAGGTCAGAAAAAAAGTGCTTTTTGTCAGTGAGTAAAATTGCATTTTGTCTTTTTATTTCTGATCTGCTTGAGGGTTTTTTCCTTTTTTAAAAAAATTCTTCAATCAGCTGTTATTATTGATGTGCTACTTTAATTAATCACAGTCACTGCAGTCTTAAGCCAAGCTTCTAATTAAATCTTTTTTTTCCTTGTTGCAACATTACTTGGGGAATCCTGCAAAAGTGGAAGACAAGCATTCCAGTGACGCCAGTAGTATGCTCCCACAGAATATTTTATCTCAAACAAGCAGGCACAATGACAGAGACTACAGACTGCCAAGAGCAGAGACTCACAGTAGTTCTACTCCAGTACAACATCCCATCAAACCAGTGGTTCATCCAACTGCTACCCCAAGCACTGTTCCTCCTAGTCCATTTTCTCTACAATCTGATCACCAGCCAAAGAAATCCTTCGATGCTAATGGAGCATCTACTTTATCAAAACTGCCTACATCCACATCTTCCATCCCTTCACAGAAAACAGAGAGAAAAGGTATGTCAGTCCTTATGGTATTTAAGGTGATGGATTACTTCTGCTGATTCAAATATGTTACTTCTAGAATTTGAATATATTTCTTGTCTTGATTCTGTTTAGAACCTCCCTTTGTTTTGATATATTTATCCCCCTTAAATTATGTTTATTTTGCACAACAAATGCACGCAATAAACTTTGTTTATTTTGCAAAGTTTCTATTTCTTAATAATGCATATTGGGAGCACTTAGAGTCACCAAGCAAAGATCAGACCCTTATTGTGTTAGGCACTGTTTGTGACCCTTCAAAAGCCTACATATTTAATTGCATTTATTTTGTTATTGGTGTAATGAAGCTGCAGAGGAATGTAGGGCTGGAGAGATGTGTTATTAATGATAGTGAGATTCTTTGCTATGGTAATGGCTCATGGAGAGTAACCTTGTGTAAGAAAATATTGGGGGGAAAAGGGACTTGTTTTGACATTGGACTTTTTTTCTATGTGTGCTTTTCTGCCTTTCAACTTTGAGTTTTTGTTTTGCAAAACATTCACGTCAAATGTTCTCTCCTTTAGCCTATTTTCTCTATTTTCATTACAATCTTCAAAATGTCCTTAAAATCCTTATTACTCAATTCTGCCACGTTATTTCATATGTGATTGGACTTCAAACTTGCGAACTTGATATTCTTCCCTGCTTTACTGCACACCTTTTTTTTTTTTTTAAGCTGTTTCCAGTAAAATTGAGTAAATGAATTTTGCCTCAGTCAGAGGAATTTGCCCTCACCACAACTGCTACGGCTGTCCTTGGAGAAATCTAGTATTTTTATGTATGTGACACTGCTTTGAGAGCTGAGCATTGATATGTGTAGTGAAGAATAACTTGTAGGACAGACTTTACACCATAGATCTGCCTTCAGAGTCTATATTAGCTTGGATGCTTCCATGCTAAGAATTGCTTAGTTTCTGTGTTCCTGTGCAGCTTTTTTTTTATGTTTGCATGTGTGAAATGGATAGATTTCATAATACTGATGTCTCATTGCTGAAATGCAGTGTTTCATGACACTTCATTGTGAGCAAATCTAACACTTCCTGAGCTTCAGATAGGGTGGATTAGAGTTTTAAAGTTAATAGATGTAATTGTAGAAGAAGAAAAGATGTAAATAGCTGAACATTAGGCTTGGAATGCTTGCAGTTGCAGAAACCACAAGTTATGAAGCATGGCTTTACTGCTGTTCTTGCAGATACAGAAAAATTCAGTGCATCTTTTATTATGATCAAAGATCATTCAAAAAATATGTGCAGTAGTCTTGCATTTCTCTTTTTGGTGACTTTTAGACTTCCATTTGATGTGAAATTTGACCAGAATAACTTTTGTGGCTATGTATATTTAAAAAAAAAAAAAAAAGAGGAGGAGGGAAGATTATTCTGCCAGAATTTCTGCCTCTGCACTGGGAGGTTTGGGGGTGGATTTTTTCTGGTACTTAATCTTCCTGAGGTGTCTGTGAACGTGTAGTACTCCAGGTGTGCAGCCTTTAAAGTTTCCATTTGTAGTTGTTAGACACAATGCAAAAAAAAAGTCCTGGGATATTCAATCCCCTTTAAAAAATATCTTTGTAGAGTCAGCAAATAGCTTGAGAGCTTTATTTTTATGCTAGTAAAGCAAGCTGTGTTCGATCTTTAATTATTTTTTTCCCCTTAAAAAGAAGTAAAGCTGCCTTTTGGCATTGCTTATAAAAGTAGCTTGGTCTAGATGCCTGAATAATATGTACAGTAGCTCCTGCTCAGAAAAATCTTTACTTCATGACAATGTGTTGCTGGTGGGTTTATGTCAGGATATACATACTATAGGTACTGCTGTTTCAATAGTTGTGTTCCTAGTGTGTATTTTTAATGCAGTAATAGCTATGAAAGCAAAGCGGGAAAAAAAAAACAACAAAAGCAGCTTTTTTCAGCTCAGTCTCTTTCTGCAGGGATGTGTTGCAGTCCCCCAACGAGACTGAATAAAGCCCCCTGTTAACAGGAGCCCTCTGCCCTCTTGGTGGCTGGAGGAGCTGGGACCTGCTTGGCCTCCTGCCTGTGCTCGGGGTGTCGCAGGCGGAGGCAGCTGCTCGTTGCTGCAGCAGAGCATGGCCTTGCTAGCCCTGCTTCTTGGCTGCTTTCTCTCCAGAGCTCGCACGGATTTTCCTCTTTAATTCAGTTATTGAATGAAATGTTACCCTGCTGTTTGCATCTCAGCAGCATCTCCATCTGTAGGATACTGCTCACACCCTTCCAGGCCCATCAGGCTGCACTTCTCAGTCAGTGGCCACTGAGCTTCTTCCTCTTCATTTTCACCCCTAGAAAGTTTTGGAAGTAAGAAAACTGCAGTTTGCAGCAGTCAGTTACTAACATTGTTCTTGGTATCGTTGCATCTTCCTCGTTGGCTGAGTTTTGCAGTTTTAAGTATATTACTCAATTCATGTAGCGGTTAGAAAAAATTATGCTAGAGAGACTGTTAGAGGTTTCTTCTGGTATTTCAGATGTGCTTGCTGAGCTTTGCAGTTGCAATTATTTTAGCAACTGTGAAATGGCTTTCTGTGATGTAGAGAGTTGAGGCGCATTTGAGAGCTCACTTGTCGTTGTTGCTCTAGTTCACTTGGCAAAATGTGTTTATAAAATTATTGCTCTTGAATGGATTTATCTAAGTATGACTGAAGGATTTCCATAGAAGTGAACTGCATAAAAAGGCTAAATGTGGCTGTCACTACTGAGAGAGCTTAGGGGGTAACTGTGCACTGGGGTGTGTGCTTACAAGGGCCTTCAGCACAGAGGAACATGTTGGGATTCTTCATCATTAGCAGTAATTAGTTGTTTTAGATGATAGCTGCTTAATCCTTATAGCAGAGGGCAAGGATGGTGGGGAGATAAGGCTTTGGCATTCTGGAAATTTTGTAATGCAGATTTTTTCCCCACTGAGTGCATGATATGAGAGCACATGCGTGGCTCTTGCTAGCGGGGCAATCATACAGCTCAAAGTTGCAGCAGATTGAGGTGGGTAATACTGTAATGTTGGATTTGGAGGGCTTTGAATGTCCTGGTTTTGTTTTTAATGGCATAAATATTACATCGGTAGTGGAAGCTGTTGGAATACTTGAGGGAATGCAGTGGTCACTTGTGGTTTATCCAGCAGCAAGTGGACAGTTTCCGTGTCATTTAAAAAAAAAAAAAAAAAAGCTGCTATCAAGAGAGCACTTGTTATATGTGTACAGTTTTTGTACAATTGAGTGTGATGGAGCAGAAACTTATTTTTCTTTTTGCCATTAAAATTCGGATAGCTGTTTCAAATAAGCTTCTCCGTGATTGTCAGAAAGTAGACTGTTTATTTCATTCTGTCACAACACAAGTGAATGGATTTATTTATTTATTTAGGAAGCTTTTTTGAAAGCTCCCAGAAACTGGAAATTTAATGTGTTTATTTTTATTGGGAAATAATTAGTGCAAAGGCATTTTTGGAACAGTGATCTGAGAGGAAAAGCAACAAAAATTGAAATTAATGAAATTCTTCACAATTCAGAGTATCGTAAAGGAATTTATTCTCCTCCGGGTTTTGATTCTTAATCTCATTCAGGTAATGGCCAGAAACTGAAGTACCAAAAGTTCCACAGGAACTTAAGGAAAAATTTTTTAACAGTGGGGGTGCCAGAGCACTGGAACAGGCTGCCCAGAGAGGTTGTGGAGTCTCCTTCTCTGGAGATCTTCAAAACCCGCTTGGACGCAGTCCTGTGCCCCATGCTGTAGGTGACCCTGTGTGTGCAGAGGGGTTGGACTGGATGATCTCTAGAGGTCCCTGCCAACCTTAACGATTCTATGATTCTATTATATAGATCAAATTTGCATCTCCTGTTTGTAGTATTTTAGTATCAGGTTCAGTGTTAATGTGTTAATTGATGTAATGTGTTAATGGATAAAATGAGTTTTATGTGTAGCTGACATTTAGTAAAAGAAATATTTTGCAATAATACTGTGGAGTGTTTGTATATGAGCGTGAAATTACATTGACACAAGAGTAGACGTTAGTGAACCAGAGTTGCCTAACTGAAAGACTTAAATTTGCAAAGAAATTGAACTTTTCTAAATATCATATTTTCATTTTGGACGCTTCATATTGATGGAAGGTTCAAATGCCTTTAAGAAAGATGTGGTTATGTATAATTCTAAACATTTCTGTTTGTAGTCCTAGAATATATTTTAGGAACTCACAACTAGCATTTAAATATTGAAAAGCAAACTGAACTGTGGCCGAGCATTCAGTGAAACAGTCCTGCAGATTCACACCCATCAGGAAAGGGGAATTGCGGAGGAAGAGGAGGGGCAGGGAGCAGTTTTCTGCTTCTGCCTGGAGGAATTTCAGGGGAAATGTGAAGCGATGGCTGAGAGCTAACATGGAGCAAGTGCTGCTCTGAGAAGAGCTTTGCGGTCTGGTGTTACCTTCAGCAGTGAAACATGAAAGTTTTGTTTGGCCACATAAATACAAACAATTTTAAAACTTAAACCTATTGTAGTGCATATTGCACAAAAGCAGATGCATAAGTATTTAGAGGCTTTTTTTTTTCTTTACTATTATTTGGACTTTATTTCTGTGTCTGAAAGCCAGGGAATAACAGGGAATAATGTAGCTCAGTTTAAGGTCATTAAAGATATGATTTCAATTGTACTAAGACTGTATGGAACTGATTTGAATTCCTTCCATATTTTGCTAGTATGGTTCACATTTCATCAGAAAGGTATTTCCCTTCGTAGAAAACATACCCATTGAGACTGCTCAATATAAACTACAAATACTTGCACTTTCATAGAATATAAAATATTTTGCAAAAATCTGATTTGGTGAGAACACTTTTTATCCTCTTTAATTTGCTGTGAATAAGCTTATTTGTGAAATAAGTAGCACTCTGAGTTGTACTTTGCATCCTATATAACATTAAGTAACATAGAATCATTAATACCCTGTGCATGATAAGTGCTGTAGTCTTTCACTGAGTACAGACTGTTGGTCTTATTCTAATAGTATTATATGGTTGTTATACTATTAACCATCTGAAAAGATGGAAATGTTAGGGGTAGATACATTTTTTTTCTGCTTTTTCTTTAGCATTCTCTACATTGGTAGAATTGAATTCACATCTTTATACCAGGAATGTTCAGCTGAGCCATAGTGCTTTTTCAGGCCGACTGAAATTCAGTTTCTTTTTGCATGACAGATTTTAAACACTTTTTTGGGTTTTGTTTGTTTGTTTTTTGAGAAATGAGCAGACTCTCAAAACAAATCTGAAAATTCCTCTCTGATGCCTTGTTAGCTTGAGTTTCGCTTTGATTCAGTTTCTTGTGCAAAACTACAGCATGGGTCAGAAATTACATTATAGCAGTGAGTAGCAGCTTTAGAGCAATTATTTCCTCCTTTGGTACCACTGGTCATAGGAGCATTGTCTTACTTGAGCTGAATTAACTCCAATAAAATAACTCAACATAACTGTGAAGATGAGTCTAGCTACGTTAAATATTTCTTCAAATTAGACCTAGTTTCTGTTATCTTGCTTGTTAGTTAATTTGGACATTAAATGGACAAAAATTGACTTTTTTTTTGATACAAAATTTTAAAGGTTCTCAAAGCTGTAGGGTAGGATAGTTATGTTAATAAGTACTTACATGTCCTGTTGTGTTTAATTGCCTTGCTTTTGTCTGCGACTGTGTCTTACCCCTGTGCGGACTTTGACAGATCTAGGTTCAGTTTAAAGTCTACGTGCTGCTGTTTAGTGTGATAAGGTGCTTGTTTACTCCGTGTCTTGACTTGCATATGTTCTACTGAGTCTACTTGGAATACTGTAAAATCAGAGTATTTTGTGAATAATACTTTTATGCCAGAGACTCATGCAGGTGACTTCCTTGTTTCAAGGTGGCGCTAATACCTAATGGCCTAACTCACATGTCACTGGAAGTGATAAAAGAATTCTCTCTTTGCTTTTGGGGTGTGTGTTTTTTTTTTTTTTTTTTTTTGTCTCCCCACTCTTCCACCTTCATAGCACTTCTTGTCTCTTTGTGATGTTTGGAATTTTAAGTTGTTCTTGCGAAAGCTGCTGGCCAAACGATGAGTTTCTGCTGAAATACAATGAAAAGCCAACTCCTTGTCCTGAGGAGCCTGTAGCTGGATAGGGCTGCCCCTTTTCTTGAGGCCCAGGTGCCTTGGCTGTTGCATCCCCACCAGAAGTCAAATAGGGATCGTTGTATGGGTAGTGCTGCCTTCCCCCCCCGCCCTCTTGTAGTTTGCCGTAGTTGTTTAGGTACTTGACTGAAAAGGTTTTTTTGGGAGTATTTGTGACCTGTCATGAACTATTTCTGCTCTAATAGCATGGAAACAGAATCCTTCCACTTATGCAATTTTCAAATGTATAGTTTGGCAGAAAAATAACTATATTTTCCCCCCTCCCATGGTCCTCTCCAAAAAATGAAAAATGTCTCCAGTGACTAAGAGGTAATTGCATGATAATAATACCACCTTGTTTCATTTATCTCTGAGATTACCTCTGAGGTCTAGAACTTTCATTTACATATTGATAATCATTTTAAATCTTTTTTAGATGTTGTCTTCCAAATTAGCATCCAGCTTAAGGGTTACAGTTAAAGCTGTCAGAAAACAGCATTCAGAAAGTGTGTGTGACGCTTTATTTGTATCTAATGTAATTTTGTTTCATTTTTCTCCTTTAGTAAAACAGTCAATCCTCCATTCATCTTTTTTGTGTAAAAAAAAAAAAAAAAAAAAACCCTTAGCATTAGAGAGATTCATAGCCAATTACTTAGCTTCCATGGGAAAAATATTTTAATACTATGTGCCCAAATTATGTTGGGGATAAAAATCCAGATCTTCAATATTCTGGAAAACACTTCGGATAAAATATTGTGTCCCTGTCCATCTCTTCACTCTTTATCCAACCTGTTTGGCATGATAAAGGCGTTAATCTTCACTGTTTGGATTTTTTTTTTTTCCTGGTAGGATTGAATGGGCAATAGGGGAAATGGAAGCCAAAATTGAAGTATAATGGCCCAATCTTTTTAAACAGGGGTGTGAAAGATGTTTGAAACAACTTATGGTATAAAAATAGTAAATGAAAATCTTTTCAGTGACGGAATTTCTCACAGTACTGGAATGAAGGAGACACATTCATATTAACTGAAAGTCAGATTTAAAATTAATTAAAAGATGCACATTAATTGGAACAAATTGCCATATAGTATGAATGAATTTAATTGCCAAACAGCTTAATGTGAGAAATAATCATTGTTATTTGGTAAAGTAAGATTAATCAAGTAGAAGATACAGGTTTTGATTCATCATGCAAAATTTGAAATTAATTATGGGCAGATATAATTCTGGATGTTTTTCCCCTCTGCTATAGAATTGTCAACAGCTCTCTCTTACATATGTAATATAGCTCATTGCCCTCTCAGTACGGAGCAATGTTGCTAGACTGTTATTTTTTTGGTAGTCTGGACTCTGAATAAAGGAAGTGTGGCTTATAACGTCCCCTCAAATTTGACATACTGTCTAGCTATTGATGAAGCTCATGGACTTTACAAGATTTTTGTTATCATACGTTTTCCAAAGGAGGATAGGAATTATGGGTAAAAAATGAATATGAAATATGCATGTATGCACAATAGATGGAGGAAAAAAAAAAGATCTTTTTTGTCTCAGATTTGTCCTGAAAACAGTCTTTCAGCAAAAAAAAAAAAAAAAAATTAATTCTATATATATGTATATAGATATATATATAGATATATATATATTTTTTTCTTACTTATTTTTTCTTACTAAATGTTAGACTCCAGGAGCTGTAGTGGCACTGGCTATCAAATACGTTCAGTTTTTGTTTTGTTTGTGGTAATATGCAGCTTTTTTGAGCAGTGGTTAAAAAGTTGATCATCTAGATTTAATATGGATATTTTAGTAGTGAGGAAAGTTGTGAGGTTGTATTGGGGGAAAAATGTAAATTACTGTGTGCCTTCTGTTTAGAGTCTGCATCTCTGGACAAGTCCGTACCCCATTCTTGCACAACTCCTTCCACATCTTCGGCTTCTGGACTGAATCCAACTTCGGCACCTGCTTCATCTGCTCCCACAGTCCCCGTCTCACCTGTCCCACAATCACCAATTCCCCCGTTACTGCAGGACCCAAATCTCCTTCGACAGCTGCTGCCTGCTCTGCAAGCCACATTGCAGCTTAATAATTCTAGCGTAGATATATCCAAAATCAATGAAGGTAAGGATACCCTTAAAGTTAATGTAGCCTTTATTTATGTAAATCAGTGTATTATAGGGCAGTAGGCTGTGCTTAATGCAAAAGATTAAATAAATAGATAACTGAAGTAAGGGTGGCTGCTTTTTTGTTGTAGTGAGGGTGGTGGTGTTTAAATTAGCTGAATAAGCTTTAATTAAGCCAATAAATATGGAGGTACTAATGAGCAGTACCGATTGCGGTGAGATTGGAGACTTAGTTACCATGCGAGCATTCGTTTGTTGCACAAAACTTTGAGCTTTTGCTGTTTTGTGTCTTCATATTCTTTGTCTTCTCTAGTTTGTGTGATTTTTCTGCATTTTCCAAAAAATGAAACCTTTACTGATTCTTATCTTGTCGCCTGTCAGCCTTTTTGTATTGGCCACTCTGAATGAGGTTGGGCAATCACTAGCAATACCTGTTGCTTTCCGAAAGGTTTTGGTAGTGGGGATGTGCACAGAGAACGTTAAAACTTTAAAATAAGCTTATGTGCTATTAATGAAGATCAGGCTGGGGAACGTAGAGGAAAATTTTGATCTCCAGGAAAGTTTCAATTCAGTACTGCAAGACAAAATTAGTCATTCCTGGAGAATTTAAGCCTGACTTAAAAATGATGCATCAGTAATTGTGCCAGCAAGCTAACTTTTTTTGTGTATGTGTGCAATTTTTGTGTATTCCTCAGCTATTTTGTCATGTAGGCCTAGTTTATCCAAAGAAAACGTAAAACTAACTATAGTGCCTTTCTCTTCAATGACAAGTTGAATTGATGCATTTTGAGCGTTTTACTTGAGAAGAAGTTTGCATGTGAAAGTTTACTGAAGAATAAAATGTGTAAAATATTTTGAACTTGTTATGCAGTAACTAAAAATAACTTTCATATGAGATTTTAATGGACTTTCATGGATAGCACCTTTCTTAAGGTCAAAATACTGAAAATATTAGTTAAAATTTAGGACTAATACCACATTAGGATTATTTGTAAGGAGAAGCTGTCAGTTGAATTTCCGTTTAATCAGCAAATGCTATGTCTTCGTTCAGTAATAGGTAGATAGGATATTCTTTTCGTTGTCCTGGGAGGAGCTCTGAAAACCTTATTGTACCAGATTGGACTAAAAAGTGGGAATGTTACTGTGGTTCGTGATGGAAAACCACATGTCCGGTAAAAAGACTCCACTTGTATTTTGCTGGGAAGCTGCCGAGCTTTTGGCTCCCAGCCTCGTTCTGCGGCCGTGGCCCCGCAGCAGCCGCCCGTCAGCGTCGAAACCCAGGGATCTGGTGCTGTTGGCCAGCACGCGTGCTCGGGTCGCGGGTGCACGAGGGCCGTGGCTCCCCCTTTGCACAGCAAGGGCGCCCTCCCTTTGCCCATCCCGCAGAGGCAGTCTGAGGTTTTGCTAGCAGCTTAGGTTTTCTTTGAGCAAAACCATTTTTTTTTTCCCCAATGATAAATACTTCAGTGCATTACTGGTTTCCCATCTGGGATTTTTTTTTTCATCCTCAAGTATTTGAAGGGGTAATACTGTTTGCGTAAAATGTATTTGGTAGTTTTTTGGATTTTTTTTGCCACTGAAAAATAGTTATTCTCCCTGATACAGGGATATCCCTTGGTACAGTTGATATCCCTGATAACTGCATCTACAGTTTGAACAGTTTAAACTGACGTTCCGGAATTGTCGCTGAGACTCGTTGTTTGTTTTTAGTTCTTACAGCAGCTGTGACACAAGCCTCTCTGCAGTCTATACTCCATAAAATTCTCACTGCTGGACCATCTGCTTTCAATATTACTTCCCTAATTTCTCAAGCTGCACAACTGTCTACGCAAGGTATTCAGAGTCATATTTTCACTTCTCTTATAAAATTGTTGGGTTGTATTGTATAAAAGCATTTGAAACTTAGAGAAGCTGCCTCCTACTGTACTGTCTTTAGTGTAGAAGTCCTTGTGTAATGTAGAGGACGCTGAGCTTTTATCCTGCCTTTGGGAAAAAGGAAGAAAATAAGTTCTTTATTTGGGGGGCAGAAAACTGATAAAAAAAATGAATAAATGCTATTCTCTGTCACTTTGGGGTTTTATCTTCGCATAGTAGCTAATGCTGTATGAGCATGTCAAATGTGTGCAAACCCTAAATTGACTCTGAAATGTTTAGTTAGACTTACCTAACGTTTAACAGAATATTCACTACTTCCTGTATTTCAGGAACTTCCATGCTTTTTCAGTTTCCAGGCATGGTGTTTTTTCAGGTATTGGTGGATTCTGTCTTGTAACTTAATAAGCCAAGTAACTGGAACCAGAGACGTAACTGCAGTCATGCAGTTTTGTCAGTGAAGAGTATTTTGTTGATACTAATTTTTATTATGCTAATTTATTTTGCTAGTAATGATTTTCAACTGATAAAACAATGGTGAGGGTGTGTGTGGATCTTTATTTTTGGAAGTCAGATGACCAAAATGGAATGAACAGGTTTCTAGATGCATTTTTTTTGTGCCTTTTGTCAGTTAAATTGAATCAGGCAATCTAAAATAGGACACCAATAAGAACAGTGAACTACTTCGTGTGTGTGTTTTTTGTTTTTGTTTTTAAAGTATTGCACAAAGTCCTTGCACCCCAGTCTTCCCCCATAGACACTTCACCATACTTTGGAACACTCCAGAGTTTTAGAAATTTGCATGTTTGGGGAGAATATAGATTTTTAGTTAGAATTCTTGTTGAACATTTGATCTTGTCAGTTGCTTTTGTCCCCTATTCAAATTCAATCTGTTAAGTATTTTTTAATACAGCATACTGCAAGTTCAGAAGAAGATCTAATTCATATCAGATGGTTTTATGAAAGCAATATCTTTTTGACTTTCCAGCTCAGCCATCTAATCAGTCTCCAATGTCTTTAACATCGGATGCCTCATCACCCAGGTCATATGTGTCTCCCAGAATAAGCACCCCTCAGACTAACACTGTTCCTCTGAAACCATTGATGACTACGCCACCCGTCTCATCACAGCAGAAGGTAAGCTGCTTTTGAAAGGTTTATGGCATGTCGCAATCAGAAACCATTCATGGTAATGTGAAATATTACTGCTGCGTATCCTTTTATTAGCATTTATATATATGGTGTGAAATGCACATTATCTTTCCTATGATATTCGACGTTTGTCGTGATATAACTGATGTTCAGTGTTCTCTCTAGATTGGATAGTAAGTTAATCCATTTTAGAAGTGATAAAAATATTCTTGCATTTTAATTTTGCTAATTAAAATATATTGCTGCTTCAGAAGCTTTTCAAATTTCAGATTCGCTTCTGTTGTTTCTACCAGTCATCTTTCCCCTTGATTCTGGTTTTAGAGTGCAAATTTTTGAAAGGTGATATTTGCAGCTTTGTATTAGTTTGTTGAAGAAGTAAGAAAACATCCAGAAGCAACTGATTTTTTTGTTGTTATCGCAGTAGAATTTAAGGGTGGAATTCAAACTTTCCTTTTCTTGAAGAAAAGCTTGTGCTTGCTTCAGAAGGCACTTCATGCCACAGGAAGGTCTGGAGACATTACCAAGAGATCAATGTTCTAGCATTTTTATATGGTAACAGAGGCTTGCTCAAAGGGCAGTGGTTGATGTAGTTTTCTGGGCTTTAGCCAAGAAAAGATTGTTGAAATGGGAGAGAGATTCCAAGTGAAGCCAGAATTGATTTAGAATTGCTTGTGGTGTTTACAAGGTAAACATGGTCTGCCCCCTCCTTCCCTCCCTGCTTTCATTCAGAGTTTCCTAATTGGATCAGTGATGAAGAAACATTAATTGAAGCTAATTGCTATTCTCTTAAGGACCTTTTAGGGGTGAGTGGAGCCGTTGAAGAAAATACAAAGCTGCTTCTTGTCATCTTGATTTTTTTTTTATGACCCATCGAGTGCTTCATCGTTTGGAGGGGAAAAAATGTCATTTATAGAATCTGAACTCAGATTCCATCCTGCAAGAGGCTGTATTGACGAATATTTATTTATTTATTAGTAGGTTTTTTTTGGTACGCTTATTTGGTAGAATTTTGTCCTGTGCTCTGCTTGGGAGATCAGAGCCTCTGTTTTGCAGTGCATGGTTGAGGAAAGCAGATACAGGCAGAGGTGTTCAAGATGAGCTCCTCTCTTTTCCTAAGGTGCTCTTTTGATTTCTTCTGCCTCCTCCCTGTGTTAAAATTCATATTGTATGTCAAGGAAGAGGAGAGATACAGAGTTTAAGCACCTATTGTGAAGGAGGAAGTTGTTACTTAAAGGAAAGTGAAGCTAGGGCTTTTTTCTGCTCTCTGTCTAGTAACCTTTGATGTTGGAGATAGTTTCGTAGGAAAAGGTAGAGCTCCAGGTATAAAACTTCTGTTTCTTTTAAGAATGATATAAGAAAAAAAAAATCCATCAGGTGGTTGTGAGTAATGGGAGGAGGTTAGGAAGCAGCTGGACTTTTCCTAGGGGTTTTCTGCTTTCATTAAATGAGGAGCTATCCTTTTCATTGTACGGATCTTTCTTATAGGAGGGAGAGCCTCAGGTTTTAAACTGATCATATGTTGCTCAGTATTTGTGGTTTTTTTGTTTTGTTTTGTTTTGTTTTGCTGGCTTCTTGGCAAAGAAATGAAGAATATTTTTTCCCCTGGAAGGAAGAAATAGCTTCTCTGCAGTTGGGCAGTCACTTCTTCAGTGTGAGAAGTGTTGCTGTAGGCTGTGGGGTTAGAAAGGATGAGATTCCATCTATTTAGTAACCTGGTGTGCAGAATTTCTCCCCTGGTATTTTCAGAATGTGGTGTTATGCATTTATTTGTATGTTCTTAATAGGTTTTAAAAACCGATCCCATTTCTAATTTTATGGTCGTATCGTTGTACACATTCTGAAATTATTGTGTTTAAATCCACATTTTCTTCAAGGAGCACCTTAACAAGATGAGATTGCATACTTGGTTTATTTTTGAATCACATGCAATGTGGTTGCAAACCAAGTGTTAAATTTAATAAATTTGAGGTACTCATGATAAGCTGTAAAGCATCTACTTGAGAACAACCTCAATTAATGATGATGGACCAATTTACATTATATACAGGGACAGGCTTTTAGCCCTCCTCTCTCGTGGGTCCTCATAGCTGTTATGGTTGCAATGTCCCACTGTAGGAATAACTTTGTATTATAACTTTTTAACAGGAATAACTTTGTATTATAACTTTTTAACAGGAATAACTTTGTATTATAACTTTGTAACAGAAATACTAGTAACATGGGCCTGCAGGATCTTTTTTTAGCTTATATTCCTCAAATTGGTGCTGACAACAGAGCTGTTTTTTAAAAATAGATAGAGCATCTAGATCCAGGAGTAAAAAATGCTCAATAACAAATACTTTTTTCAATTTAGTGAAGAAAAATCTTTTTTGATAAGTTTCTTTTATTGATACAGTTCTGTTCTTAAAAAGATATCAAGATGAAAACTTACTTAGTGGCTGTTTTAATAGTCATTTAGATATGCCAGTCAATCAGGCTACCTTGTCCACTTCTACCATAATGAAGTAGTGCCGGGCCAGGACACAGATCCTTTTAGAAGACAGACTGGTTGGCTCAGGGTGCTCGTGCCTAGGGGCAGCCAAAGCTGAGCGGGCGCAGGGCAAGCAGAACACGCCTGCATTGCCCTGCACAGGCAGCCAAGGTTGCCACTAATGGTATTGGCACATAGTCTTTAGTCTTTACTATTCCCTATACCTTTGATTGCTTAGTGTCTTTGAAGATCCTGGGAAATACAGAATAGTTAAGAGTTTGTCCTGCTCCTGTAGTGGTTCATATTTTGAACTCACAAATTCCAGTTTTCCCAACCAAGCCTTTTAGACATAGTGAGTGTGTTTGAGATTACGTAACTCATGCATGTTGCGCTTGCTCTGGTATCTGTGGCCGTTTCACAGGAGTCTGTTCCTGAAACAGTAACTTCTGCAAGTTCTGGTAGCTGCTAGTTAGTCCTACAGCCTAATTTGCTCTTGCCTGTTCGGATTCACAGAAGCTGCTTTTCCTCCTCTCACTGTTAAATTTCTAGGTTTCTGTGGGGAAAAAAACGTTTTGAGCTGTTTCCTTTTTTTCCCCTTTATTTAAAAGGAACAGAGATTTACAAAGCATGAACAAAAAACTGAATTTTAGATAGTGTAACTTTAATTTTAGAAGATGTTAAGGTATGTGTATGTGAAGCAAGTAACTTGAGCTATTAGTTTTATTTTATTGTTTATCATCTTCCATAGATTCAAATGGACAGATAAATTTAAAGGGGAGGATTAGCAGACTGAAAAATAAGTTTTCAAGTTTTCTTTTTTGTTTCTGCCAGAGATGTTAGAATTATAAGCTATTTTTCTTTGTTTTTTGAGAACAAAGTTAACATAAGATCTTCAGTTCTAGTAACGACACTACAATAATGTATTTTAAACTGGCGAACTCTAGCGAGAAGTTTGTCCTAGATAATGAACAACTCTTCTGAAGCTGGAAATGGGCTTGTTGCTGAAATGAAGGATATAAGCAAAACAAATTACATTGGACTATATTACCTGATAAACTTAGAGTTTTGAATTGTCAGGTGGATCTAAACTTTTTTTAAAAAAAAAAAAACAAAAACTCTTTTAAGTAGAGCCCTAGAGCTAGACAGATTAATCCTTGTCGTGTGAATGCTGTTAAAATTGTTTTTAATTTAAGACTTTGGACCAAAAAAAGAGTGGTGTTTTGCTTGGGAGTTTCTGTATTTTCCTGTGGTTCTTGTACTCAGTCTTCCTGTGCAGAAAAGCTAACGGCGTTTTGAACTTTTCAGGTTACTACTCCAGGTGTGAAACAAGGACCAGCTTCGCAGTCAGCACCGCAGCAACCAGTAATAGCTGACAAGCAGGCAGGGCATGAACCTGCCTCTCCACGAAGTCTTCAGCGTTCGAGGTATATTGAAATACTTGTCTGTACTGTCTTCTGTGTTCACCTTGATCCACCCTGTATCGTGTACGTTGCAGTTTGTGAAGTTTTCTTCAGCATTTTTATTAAAGCTGTGGTTTAGCTCTGCTGCTGCTGAAATGATGCAGCTAAATAACTTCAGCACAGAGTTCATGTGGCAGGTTCTCTGCTTTAGTTTTGTGTGCACTACTAGTGGTCTGTTTCGAGAAGCAAAAAAGATTTCATGTTTCTCCCCTGTCGTCGTGGAGTTAGTAAAGCAAGTGATTCTCATTCTTCTGCAAAGGCTGATTTCAGACTCTGGAGTTGTGTTTTCTTTCCATGTGGATATAGAATTGAATTCTTTAACTGTATGTGATTCCCTTAGAATCAGATATTTGTGGCTTCATGCTGTAGTGCAGATTTGATTTTTAAATTAGTAAGAGCTTGTGTGTACCATGTGATTTTTGTTACCTTAATGGAAAACATTAAAGAACTAAGTAAGCTTCACAAATGCTTTTCCTTGGCCAGATGTTTTTGTCCGCGTTATAGCCTGTTCAGATGTTGCAAGATACGAACGTTTTGCCCTTGATTTACAAGCCACGCTTAGAATACGTGTCTTGCCTGACATTTCCTTGGGGAAAATGGGTTTCTCCCTATGTACCTGCTATTACCCTCATAGATACCATCTATGCTTTGTCTTGCAGTCAGTCTGTGATGGAGTGGTGGGTAGGACCCCTTCTTGTGACAAGGCTCTTGGAAAAACTGAGCTGTCACTATGGGCTCCCAAAAGTCTGCAAGCAGCTATGCTTTCTAAAAGCTAGTTTTTTATGATGCTTTTATATCATGGGCTGTGATACTAAAAGAAAAATCCCTTTCTCTGTCAGCACTTGTAGAGCTTCATGGTGGAGTTTTCCAGATCATAAAATAGTCATGTCATTTATCTGTGCTTTTGGGACTAAGAACAGGGGACGACTTTCATTTCTATCTCATTGATACACTAACTTTTTTTTTAAGCATTTTTTCAAATATTTTAAACAGCATTTTATTTTATTTTTGATTGGCCCCTGATCCCAGTGAATGGTCTCACTGGAGATTCAGAACGGTGATACTCATCTGTGTGTGTGGAGGCAAACAGGAACAAGTGGGAAGCTTTTGAGGTGTTCGTTTTTTTTTCTTTTTTTTTTTTTTTTGATGCATACTTGGTTTTGATTTTTGGCAGATGTCTAACATAAAGTTCAGTCTAGTTTGTAGTTAGTGGCTTCTTTATATTGTTATTTCGTCAGTTGGTCTCTAGTAATTATGGATGGTGGTGTCTAAATCTTTCTGAATAGTAGTATCAAAAACTAGTTTTCAGCAACCAGCTAAACCTTTATAATATGGAGCAGTGAGGTTGTGGTGGTTGTGAATGAGAAACATTCCCTCTGTCCTTGGCTGGTTCTCCTTTTCCCATAGGAAATCTTGTTAAGGAAGACAGCGACCTCCTTGGGACATTCACAGTGACTTGAAGTCTGAAGTGATATTGGGGGTATCTCACTGGCTTTTGCATACCCTTTGGGGGTTATAGGATCTGCTACCCCGGCAATACCCTTGTTCGCATGCAGTTCTCTCCAGGGATCCCCTGGCCCTTTCCAGACCAGTGCTCCACGTGGCCTCCACACGTGTTGGAGAGGGTGAGCTGAGTTGGTCCAGGCAGCGGCACACGTAGAACAGAGAGGCCTCTCGTATTTGCAAAGGAGATTTGCTGGTGGTTGGTAGCTCTTAAATTGTTGTTTGTGACAGTGATGTATCATGTGTCACTCATTCCTAGCTTTTTAGGAAGCATCTCATTTGCAAAAATACAAGATTAAGGAAGACATGATTTGGGAAAACCTGAGTCTGATAATTTCTTTTGTTCAATGAAAGGGAGTTGGAAAAGAGTGGACTAGTTCAGGCTTAGATTTACTCATCCTCAAAAGACTTGCTGTGTCTAGGCAGTATTTTTGAATTGATACAGCAAAGATTGACTGCTTGCTTCTACAAAGAAATGAAATGGGACTGAGAACTGCTCTGAGCCTTGCTCCCTTTGCCTTTATATCGGAATAAACAACAAGATGAATTGTGGGAAGCCAGTCCAAAAAAGTTCTGTGAATTAATGTTTCTTTTTTGTTTCCGTGTGGTGACAGTTTGGATATGGATTCATTATGTAGAAGTTGGTCACAGTTGTGTTTCTTTTGCCTCATTTGCCTTCTTATCAAAAGTTTTAGGCAAATAGTGCCTTCAGACCAGATAAAAATAATTCTAACTCCAAGAAATGTGTGAATAGCTCTTGTTGACTTTAAAATTTTGAATATTCCTGGGGTGTAATGAGCTTTCTTTAAGAGGTACCCTGGGTTATGGATACTTTAATAATGAAATTGAGTTCCTAATAGTTTCTTTTTATTTCCTTAAAGAGTATTTTTCCTTTATCTCTAGAAAAAGCAAAGCTGTTAGGAGGAAGAGAGTCGGACTTTTTGCGGGGCAGAATGTTTGATTCGGTAGTTGGCAGTAGTGTCTTTCAGAACTGTCCTTTTTTCATGTTCTTGCCCTAGTAAAACCATTTTGTAACCTGTGGTGTTGACGTTCTTTATCTATATCTATCATCTATAAATGATCTTTATCATTTAGCAGTTCAGAAAAGTATTTGGCTTTATTAAAGCATTTAAAAGTATAAGAGCAGTTTGCAACTTCCTCTGTCATTGCTGTATCGGCAGCTCCCCCTGCTGTTGAATAGCTGTGCTAGGGAATTTTATGGTAGTAGGTTCACAATTAAGTACAACTTTAAAAAATAAAATAAAAACGTGTTGTTTCCTTAGAAGATTTATGATTGGTTGAAGAGATTTTGGAGTCAGAAATGAGACTGATAAGTGGAGGGAAGTAATAGGGAAGTTTTGGTCCCCTTTCAACAAAGGCATAAGCCCTGAAGATAATGTCTGTCTGTCTTAGTTAATAAATACATCCTTTCTGTCTATTATTATTCTGATGATGATGTTTGTGTGCACAGAATAATTTAGATTGGAAGGGATGTCCAGAGGTCATCCAGTCTGAGCCCCTATTCCAGGTAGGATCAGCAAGATCAGGTTGCTGATGGCATCGCCTAGTTGATTTTTGAATAGCTCTAAGGACAGGGTTTTCACTGCATCCCCGGGCATCTTTCAATGTCTGACTAACTTTATAGTGGGGAAAAAAAATCCTTATATCTAATCAGAATTTTCCTTGTTGCAGCTTGTGTCCCTGCCTCTTGTCTGTGCACCTCAGAAGAATCTGGTTATGTCTTCTTTACAGCCTCCTATTAGGTAGCTGAGGGCAGCAAGAAGATCCTTGAACCCACCTCTTCCAGGTTTTTCTTTTCCAGGCTTAACAAACCTGGTTCTTCCACCTTCACCCAATATGCCATACACTTTAGCCCCCTCAGTGTCTTAGTGGTCCTCAGTGGGCTCCCCCAGGACGGCAGTGTCTGCCTCATCCAGTCGTGTCCGAGTTCACAGTACTCCCAGTGCGCAATCCAGTGTGGAAAGGAGGTGGAGGGAGCAGCTTTCCTCAGCCTGCTTCACTCCCATTAGTACTGCTCGATGTGCAGCCTTTGCCACAGGGATGGACATGCTGCTGACTTGCATTTAACTTGTCTACCGAGATCTTCACATCCTTTTCATCAAAGCTGCTTTCTATCCAGGTATATGTTGAGTGTCCAGGCTGTGTTGTTTCATAGGGTTATTCCATCTTGGCCGCAGGTTTTTGAATTTGCCCTTATTGAACTCATCTCCTATTAGCCTATTCCTTCAGCTGGTTGAGATCTCTCTGAATAATAATCTACCTTGCATCATAATGACTTTTCCCCAATTAGATGTCATCAGCAGATATGCTGAAAGTGTACTCTGTGTCATCCTATAGGTCATTATACAGACTTTAAGTAGTTTTAGTTCGAGTATTGATCAGTGAAGGATGCGACCAGTCACTGGCTGCTGATTAGCCTTGATTCTGCTCACTGCAACCCTTTGAGCTCATTGGTACTGCCAGTTTTATGTCTATGGCTGAAATATAGAGAGGATGAGTGGACTGTCAAATTAAAAATACAGTGGAAAGGCATGTTAGAAGTCTTGCTAAAGAAGAATGTCTCCAATTTCCCCATGTCCATTGAGCTGATCATCTTATCATGGAAGGCAGTTAGCTTGACCAGGCATAACTTGCCCTTGGTAAATCTGTGCTGTTCTCCTAAGAATGCCTTTTAGTATTTCATGTGTCTGGAAAGAGCTTCCAGGATGAATTACAGTGTAATTTCCCTGGTGACTGAGGTGAGGTCAGCTAGTCTGTACTTCCCAGATTGTCTTTACTGCTCTTCCTGAAGACGGGCATAACTCATTTTTTCCCCATCTTAAGGAGTTTTAGTGTGTCCAGCAGAGAGCCACGAAGATGATTAAGGGACTGGAGCAGTTGTCATATGAGGAAAGACTAAGCGAGCTGGGCCTGTTTAGTCTGGAGAAGAGAAGGCTGAGAGGAGATCTGATCAACATGTTCAAGTACCTGAGGGGTGATTGTAGGGAGGATGGGGCCAGGCTCTTCTCTGTGGTGGTCGGTGACAGGACGAGGGGTAACGGGTGTAAGTTGAAACACAGGAAGTTCCACCTCCATGTGAGGAAGAACTTCTTTCCTGTGAGGGTTACCCAGAGCACAGGCTGTCCAGAGAGGTAGTGGAGTCTCCTTCTCTGGAGATCTTCAAAACCCGCCCAGATGCCACCGTGTGCCACGTGCTCAGCAGGTGTCTCTGCTGGAGCAGGGGGTTGGACTAGATGATCTCTAGAAGTCCCTTCCAACCTCAACCACTCTGTGATTCTGAGTTTCCCCCAGTCACCGCGATCCTTCAAAGACAAAGGGAGTGGCTCAAAATGACACTGGTGAGGTCCTTCATTCCCCTAGGTGCATACTGTCCGTTTGCAAGGAGCTATATATATGTATTTAGATACGTAGTGAGTGTTTTCAGGGAGCTCCGAGCACTCACTCTTTCTTCTGCTGTAGCTTAGTGCTTTGCTTGTGCTGCCGCTGCTAAGAGGCTCCAGGCCACGGGAGCTGTGAGGGCAAACCATACCCGTAAAAACATTGCTGAGCAGTGTGGCCTTTTGTCACATAGGTCCTCTGCGGGTTCCCGAGCCTGCAGGTTCCTTAAGCTTTCTTTTTCTGTTGATGCACAGGACTTACTACCCGTCACATTCCTCTCTACGTTCAATTCCACTTTTGAAGTGTTAATGCTATTCTTTTATCTAATCAACTCAACATTTCTCCAGTTAAGTGTTTGCATATCTAAGTTTCAGTAAATGGCTAAGATTGATGAGGGAGACGTTACATTGAATAACCGAAGAATGCTCTCTTGTTTTCAGTTTTGCCATGTATTCCCCTTTGCAGCTTTTGCTGCCCAAAACCGAAGGAAATTTATGCATTAAATATTAAGAAAGCTGCCCACCAAAATCTTCTTTTGTAAGGTAATTTTGTATCTTAACCTTTTAAACAAAGTTAGTGAGGGTAAATGAAGCAAGTGTTTGGTGGAACAGAACACAGCACTTTGGAGCCATGGCGCAATGTGCTGTGTCCAGTCTGAGGCTGTTTGCTTGGTATCGCGGTGCAGTGATCAGGATGAAGGGGCGTTGGGCTGTAAAGACAGTGCAAGGATGTTGTGTTCCCCTTCCGGGGTGGGTTAGGTGAAGAATTAAGGTAGTTTCTCTCTGATTTTTCATTATATTGCTTGCAGGCTGGTAATAAGTGAGATTTAGGAAATAGACTAAAATTATGGCCTATGCCGAAAGCTGCTGTCAGCATAGGTGGGAGTGACTGCGAACATTATGCATCTTATTAGTAAGGCTCTATACTTAATTAGCACCAGTGTTTCTCAGTATATGTAGTGCCTGAAGGAAGGATATTTCTCAGTATATGTAGTGCCTTGCAAGGGAGGACAGAGCAGCATTCCCAGCAGAGCAGAACAGCATCGCCAGCCCAGTAACAGCCCCTGCAAGGGCGGAGGGGCCCCGGCCGGCAGCTCCCTCCCTGAGCCGTAACCAGCTTGTTCCTGCCCCTGGCAAAATGAGTGGAGGGCAATGGGGTGGCTGGAGGGATATGGGGGAAGCGAGGCCTTGTTTTTGTAAGGGGTGGCGTTAAGTGCAAGAGTAGCATGAGGGCTGTGTCGCTGCAGTGCTGGTGGCTGTGTGGGATGTGGTGGGAATGTGAGAACATGGTGTCCATCTAGGGCCTGCTTTCTGGACACCCAGCAAGTAAATTTATTTACCAGCATTTTTAGTCTGTTTAGGGGAAGAAATTGTGGCTTTTTGGGCATCATGTTATGTGTTAAAATTGTGTGTGCCACAGTTAAGTGAGGTGATAATATCATATGTAAGTGAGGTGACTTCCGTATCCAGAGAACTCGCAGTCCAAGTATAAGCTGAAGAATGAGGACTTGCAGATTTGGGGTGCAAGAGTCCGTGTTAGATCAGTCTGTCTTCCTGGCTTACCAAAGATTTAGTGAACCAGTATCTACTTTTTTTTAGTCACTGTAACAGGATTAGACTTTTATAAAGAAAAAAGATTCTTAAGAAGGAACTTCACGTGTTACTAATGCTCATCAGGAGCAGCATGAGAGAGCAAGGAAAAACGTCTTGTGGAGGCATTCATTTTGGAGTCGAGCGAGAGGGTAACTGTTAGAGGCATGCAGTTAGGGAACTAGTGCTGTCAAAGCAATTGCCAGAATGTTTTTGGAGGTAACGTAATCTTTAGACCTGTGGATGTCAAAAGACCAATTTGTCAAAATCAGTGTGAGATTTTTTTTTAGCAAGAAGAATTTTTGACGAAGAATTGTAGTTGCATAGTGAAATTGAAAAGCTGTGTGTATCAGTATTGTTCAGAAAATGTAAATGTTGCTTTTGCTTGGATATGGAACCCTGAAAGAGGATGTTCAAAAACTTTGTCCGAGATACAGAGTTCCTGGTTTGGTTTAAAATAGAGAGCGATCAACTTATTGTGTCTTCTGCTGCCACAGCTTTTGTGAGCAAACTGTCCAGCAACAGATTGATTTACAACCAGGAAAGTGGCAGCGTGAGTATGTGTGGGTCAGCTTGGTAACTGCAGATGTTGTATTGCTACTTGTCCTTGGAGGTGCACGATGTCAACGCAGTTATTTAGGAATTTGTGCCTCGACATTGGTAAAACTTCTTAAAGCTAATCTCAGGAGAGGGACATGGCCTTTTTCCTGATGATTATTGTGGCACTTCAAGTTATTTTGCTGAGTATTTGACCTGTTAGGCTCCATTGGACACGTGCGTATTGGAAATCGTAGAAGATTTGCAGCTCTTCTCAGGCATATCCAGACATACATTCTCTATCCAACACTACAGTGTAGCTGCAGTTCACATCTCCTACACAGGCACTAGAGTTAAAACACTGCCATACTGCAGCACTCAAACAGCTCTAGTGTGACTAGGAGCTTATCTGGAAGGTGGCTTAGGGTTAATTTACCAGAAGCATCCACTTGTCGTTTAAATGTTTTGTGTAGTTTGCGGCTGGAATCAGTGAATTCTGTGTGTTTATTTCTCTGCAGGCTTATGTATGCGTTTAGACCCTCACTTCTTTTTAAACCTTCTTTTTCTAGTAGTCAAAGAAGCCCGTCACCAGGTCCAAATCATACCTCCAGCACGAGTGCATCAAATTCAACACCTGCGCCGCAGAATACATCTGTACGACCTACGTGTTCATTAACACCTACGCTAGCAGCACACTTCAATGAAAATCTTATAAAGCATGTCCAGGGCTGGCCTGCAGACCACGCGGAAAAGCAAGTGAGTCCAGCTCTGCATTGCTCCCAGTAGAGCTTCAAGTCTTTCTTGTTCCATGGGTTGCTTTTTGTAGAAAATAAAAATATTTTTTAATTAAAAAAAAAAAAAGTCTGCTTGGCTGTAGCCAAAAATTAAATAGTATTAGAAAACATTGGATATGAGTTAGGCCGAGTCTGCAGGTTTTACATGAGATTAACAATCGAGTATTTTGTCTCATTTAATGTATTGGTGCTTTTGAAATTTTTTGTTGGAGGAAGTTATTATAACTGTTTTCTTACTGCATATGTTCTGTTTAATTTTACAAGAGCATAAAAGAAACATAATTATTGTATATTAAAAAAAAAAAAAAAAAAAAAGCCTGCCAAAATTTATCTGTCATGATTTGGGTGGCCAAATTAAACTACTTGGGACCCTCCTCAGTTGGAATCCCTGACTTGTTAGCTGACCTCTGCAGTGAAAAGGGAACCGCCTAACCCTTCTACCCAGTTACTAAGATGATGTTGGTTACAGTCAGAGTTAGGTTACAGTCACAGGGCTCTGACTATAAAAAAGCCCAAATGCATAGAGGGAAATCCAGTACAAATGCTGGCCTTATTTTGTAGCTAGCTGCGGGAAACCTGCTGCGTTGTGATAGCACAGGGAAATTGGAGTCATGTCAGCTGCTTAGAACATACTACTCCCAGGAGCCATGGGATCCCTAAATGCAGCTTACATCCCTCCTGCCACAGACAGCTGTGTCTTGCAGCCGGCAGTCTGGGTCAGACAGCAGTCTTGCTTAGCCCGGCTCGCTTTGCCCTTTCCAAGAGTGGTGGTGTGCTGGCTGGACCCCCAGCTGGCGGGTAGCGGCTTGTACAGTGACTCTTAGAAGTGCCATCTAGGCTCATTCTCTCTGTGGGCTGTTTTGTTTTTTGTTTGTTTGTTTTTTCTTATTTTACTCAATTTTAAGGCATGCCAATCTGTACTGAGCCAAGCCACAAAAAGCTGTTACTGTGGGATGTCTGCAAACATACGGCACCGATGCAGCAGATCCCCTTCTTCCTATGGCCCTGGCCCAGTGCTTGGTGGCCCCGATAGCACTAGTTTCACTGTGTACTGAATTGAGATATAAGCTACATCAATCTGTATTGTCTGCATTAGACACAAGTTAACTTTTTCCCTGGTATCAGGAGTAGATCAAAGAGAAGTAGCTAATGCTGGGCTGCTGTGTACTCACTCAGATACTTCTAGCTTTGTGCCAGCTTTCCTGTGCTGTGTTGTCATACTTGTCATTTTGGATTACTTCACTTCAGATGGTAATGTTTATAGGCCAAACTTGAATAGTCAGTCTTAGGGGATTAAGTCAGAGATAATTTGTGTAAAAGAAAAATGAAGAAAATTAGATGTTCAGTATAGTAAAGAGATAGAATGAAGCAGATAGACTGAAGTATGTGATATCTTTGTTGCTTCTGCTTTCTAACCAGATGGTTAGATTAAATTGAAATTGAAGCATGCAGACACATGCAAGCTTTAAAAAAAACTACTTGAGCAAGAGCAGCAATTTGTTAAAACAGTCAGATTTCACAAAATGTACTTTGAAGTAATTATTAATTTAAAAAAAAAACACTTGAACCACTAGCAATTAGTTTGGAGAAGTTGTAGAAAATGGTTGATGTTGAAACCTGGAAACTAATCCAGTTGTGTGGTTGGCTACAAAAGATAACTGTCTTGTGAAGAAAGAAAAAGAGGAAAAAAAAAAAAAAGGGAGAAAGAGTATTGTAGATGGCCTGGACTCAGTAACTCATGTGAGAGGATGTCCTGCTGGTCACCAGGCCCCTCTCCTGTTTTTAAAAATTATTGATCTGTTCTGTTGCATCGATGACTTGTGCATGTTGACAGTCTAGAAAAGACGAGCTAATGGAAGGAACCAGATCACAAAACACCTTTTAAGACTGGAGAAATGCTTGAGGTAGATGAAGACCTGGGCTAAAGATTATTTTCCTTAAGAAAGGAAATAGCAAGTGTGCAACATCTCTGGAAGAGAAGAGCATTGCCACGAAGTAATACTGCAGGAAAGGACTGCTTTGAACCATAAACTTTTTATGATATACTGCTTGCAAAAAGGTTTATTTTTATGTCTGAGCATGATACATAGGAAATACCCAAATTGGGGCTAGGTCCTGCCTTCTAAATTCATACTTCTGCTAATCCTTACCTGACTTTTGAGTGCACAGTGAGGTGGATTAGGAATTGGCTGGATGGCAGAGCCCAGAGGGTGGTGATCAGCGGTGCAGAGTCTAGTTGGAGGCCTGTGGCTAGCGGGGTCCCCCAGGGGTCAGTCCTCGGTCCAGTCCTGTTCAATTTATTCATCAATGACCTGGATGAAGGCACAGAGTGCTCCCTCAGCAAGTTTGCTGATGATACCAAACTGGGGGGAGTAGCCGCTACCCCAGAGGGCTGTGCTGCCATCCAGAGGGACCTGGACAGACTGGACAACTGGGCGGTGAAAAACCTCATGCAATTCAACAAGGCCAAGTGCAAGGTGCTGCACCTGGGGAGGAATAACCCCAGACACCAGTACAGGTCGGGGACTGACCTTCTGGAGAGCAGCTCTGCAGAGAGGGACCTGAGTGTCATGGTGGACGACAAGTTGACCATGAGGCAGCAGTGTGCCCTCGTGGCCAAGAAG